CCATTATCAGCATCTAAGACTCCTTTTTCAGCACTTTTCGGATAATGGAATAATATTCAACCCGAATAAGTGTAAACTTGGCAAACTGGCAATAGAGTTCTTAGGTCGCATTAATAAGCCAGAGGGCATTCGACCTTGTAGAGGCAAAGTACGTGCAGTCATGTAGTACAGTGTACCGTCCACTCTCAGGGTACTGAAAGAAATTGGCACCCTCTCGACTTTTCCTCACAACGCCTCACTCCCACGGAGACGAGATATCGCTCTATTGGTCGAGAACTGCTAGCAGCCTACTGTGCCATCAAACACACCCGACACGCAGTAGAATATCGTGGCTTCATCCTCTTCATCGACCATAAGTTTCTAGCGTGTGTTCTGCATACCAAATCTGACCGCTACTCACCACGTTAGTGCAGAACTTTGGACTACATCTCTCGGTTCACAACAGACCTTCGTCACGTTGAAGGCGAGTTGAACTAAGTTGCCGACGCTATGTCAGGTATCCAGGTGAATGCAGTTAATTTACCCGTGTGTGATCTACCTAACTCCGCCAGTAGAACCTTAGGGGCTACTGCCGGTCCCAAGCCCGGATATAGGAGGAGGGTTGGACATGGGGTTGGCGGCCCCATTCCGTTGAAATCTCACTTGCCAAAAAAACGCTAACCAGAAAAAATAATTCAAACCATTTTAACTCTGCCCTGGGAGTTGGAAGAAGTATTATGACGTCTCGTGATGAAAGCCGAGTTCCCTCGGAAGTCACGGGGCCGATGTCTTTTCTAACAACCAGAGCAACCATTCTTTTAGGTACATGGAACGTTCGTACATTGTGGGAGACTGGAAGACTATTTCAAATTGCGGCAGAAATGAAAAGATACAACCTCGAGGTGCTCAGCATCAGTGAAACGCATTGGACACAAGTAGGACAACTGAGACTAGCTTCAGGAGAACTGCTGTTATACTCTGGTCATGAAGAGGAAAACGCTTCACATACACAAGGAGTTGCACTGATGCTGTCCAAACATGCACAAAAGGCACTGATAGGATGGGAAGTCATCCAATGTTATGCATCTACCAATGACTACAATGACGACGTTAAAGATCAATTCTACGAAAGGCTGCAGTCAATCGTCGATAAATGTTCACCAAAGGATTTGACGATTCTAATGGGAGACCTGAATGCCAAGGTTGGCATGGACAACACTGGATATGAAGACATCATGGGACGACATGGACTGGGAGGAAGGAACGAGAACGGTGAGAGATTTGCAAACCTATGTGCCTTCAACAAACTGATCATCGGTGGCACAATATTCCCGCACAAACGCATTCACAAAGCCACATGGATTTCACCGGAACACACTACTCAAAACCAAATTGACCATATCTGTATCAACAAAAAGTTCAGAAGGACCATGGAGGATGTGAGAACCAAGAGAGGAGCTGATATAGCTTCAGATCACCACTTGCTGATCGCCAAAATGAGATTGAAGCTAAAGAAGCACTGGACAACGGGGCAGACAACATCACAGAAGTTTAATACGGCCTTTCTTCGGGATACCGTAAAACTGAACGAACCCAAGATAACCCTCACCAATAGGTTCCAGGCCTTGCACGATATACTCGATGGAGAGGAAGCAACATTGGAGAACAATTGGAAAGGGATTAAGGAGGCAATCACTTCAACATGTCATGAAGTTCTGGGTCACAAGAAGTACCATCACAAGGAATGGATCTCTGTTGATACTCTTGTAAAAATTGAAGAAAGAAGGAACAAGAGAGCAGTAATCAATGTCAGCCGAACAAGAGCAGAGAAAGTTAAGGCACAAGCTGAATACACGGAAGCAAACAGGGAAGTAAAGAAGAGCATCAGAGCTGACAAACGAAAATATGTGGAAGATCTAGCAATGACGGCGGAAAAGGCTGCAAGAGACGGAAACTTGAGACAATTGTACGAAACCACAAAGAAACTATTGTAAACCAGAACGACCAGTAAAAAGCAAGGAAGGGAAAGTAATCAGCAACACTGAAGAACAGCGAAATAGGTGGGTAGAGCACTTTAAGGAACTAGCTCCACTGAACCCACCCAACATCGAAGCAGCATCCAAGGACCTCCCAATTAATATTGGCGCACCTACAATTGAGGAGATCAGTATGGCCATCAGACAAATCAAGAGCGGCAAAGCAGCAGGACCAGACAACATCCCAGCAGAGGCAATGAAAGCAGATGTGAAGCAACTGCAAAAATATTTCACATCCTCTTCAAGAAGATTTGGGATGAGGAACAAGTACCATCAGATTGGAGAGAAGGATACCTGATCAAAATACCAAAGAAAGGCGATCTCAGCAAGTGTGAGAACTACAGAGGCATCACTCTTCTTTCAATACCAGGCAAAGTCTTCAACAGAGTATTGTTAAGTAAGTGTGATCTCCCTACTTTGGCTGCCGCTGAAGCAAGCGATCCTTCCTGTACAGGAAAACAACATTCTACATCCCCTAGCTACTGGCTCAGGTAGTATCTTGTGTAGTTCTTCTACTTGTCGGCCCGTATCCATCGTACCCTCTGGTTATCGCCATCTGGCCTTCGATGCCCTTCATGGGCTGTCTCATTCAGGTATCGCAGCCACTTCACGCCTCGTCGCTGCACGATAAATCTGGCCGTCCATGAATAGAGATGTCCGTATGTGGGTGAAGCAATGCTTATAATGTCAATTTCTCGATCCTACGGGAGAATATAATCGTTCTGTGGTGGTGGTCATAGTCAATCTCGACTCGATATACCACAACATCTTCAAGTTACCTAGAGGTCTGAAGCAGGCCACCATACCACAAGTAAATATTACTAATACCTTATTCCTGGTAGCCTACTTACCAGAAGCGCCGACGGAAAATATTTAGTGCAGTAAACAGGGGTAGATTTTGTAATATAATATGGTCTTTGCTATAAAACCTGTCAAACAAAATGTAAATTCGTGGTAAAATATTCCATTTTGTTCAGTGTCGTTAAAGACGCTGAAGAAGAAACTTTTGGTGATGATTGCTTGGCGAAAAAGTACGCAACATTTTTATACCAGCTTTATTCTGCAACAAATATCGAGATAAAAATGCCACAGAGAAAATATCTCCACAACACATAATTAGTAATCATTATGTACATTTTTCACGTATATTTGGAGATACCCGCAAAACAATGAATCTTTATTCTGAGACGAAGTTATTTGAATCTAACTTTTGATATTGACATCAATACAGTGTCAAAATGTGACTATCATCAGATAATAATTCTGATAAAATGGGTCTACGAACCTGGGGTTTACTGCGTTTAGACATACAAATTTCCATCCGCTTGTTATTGACTTTATACGGAAGAAACAAAACAGTGGTAAAAGAAGTATTTTAGAGGGCGAACAAGTGGTCGACAAGAGGTCGCTAATACGTACTATATACCTGTTAGCAGTCAAGTGCTTGGTTGACGATCAGTGAAAAATAGCAAACAGAATCTCCCTAGTGATTACTGTGGTCAAAGCTCTCGCAGTAACGAAGACGTAACATTGAGGAACCTTGTCATTAAGTTAACGCATTCTCATTCGTTTACAATCTAGAAGGAAAAAAACTTTCTAAATCAAGAGATCAACCAGAATATGTGTCTGACATAAGTAAACAGATGTGATATCAGGAGACGCGAAGTTATGTTGGACTGGTAACTTAACCAGAAAAATTCTAAGGAGGTTAAAAAACGTCGATCAATATTGGTAGTACATAGGAAGCAGAACACTCAGGCGGCTCATTTTAACACAGGGTCAAGAGACGTTAACCTCATTTACTTCTAGATACCTGGAAGAAGTAGTACTAGCTTATGTAAAAATGAAATCAGCTGTTAAGTTGTCAATCAGTAATCGGTAAAATGCTATTAAGCAGTATGGTTTTGATCTGTATATTCCACTAAGAAATTTTACTATTCTTTCTGAATTGTAAATGATTCGGTGTAAAGTGCTTGTCAAAGCCTTAAGAATATTTAATATTCCTAGGGGATTAAATGAAAGAGAACACAAAGTTTGGGCTGTAGGAACCATTTTTGAAGTACTTCCGAACACTTGAAGCTCAAGAGACACAGTTATCGCTTCCTCCATCTCCCGGTCAACCATCACCTGCGTCCTTTCACAAAAAAGTATTTTGAAGACCAGAACAAAGAGACTTAGACAGAACATACTGGGACGAATAAATGGGACATCTCAAAGTTGCATGTTGATTACATACGCACTTCAAGAAATCACGGATATTCAGAGCTTGAAAACGCCGTTTTTAGTGAGACTGATAATCGAAGATTAAAAAGCTGTTCAAATAAAATTTCAGAAATACAGGAGTTTTGAAATACATCTAAGAGATAGTTGTTGTATTAAGAAGTATGGGATATAGGCTGATTGGTCTTTACGAGGAGTGAATAGCACGGACGACCCTGTCGTGGTCTGTTGCGAATTTTTGAGATAGGGCCTTCAGCTTAAGCATGATCAGTAGAGCTATTGAAGGCCACATCAATGCCAGAAGTTTACGAAACTTCCTGTTTCGTCTATTTAACTACCACTACATGCGATTTACTCTTTCCACATTATCGTCCTTGTTGTCAATACCTAGAAATTATTTTTGTCACACACATCTCCTGTTTATGTTTTGATATCAGTACGGAATTGAATATGAGGCACCACAAACAAATGTAATACCAGGAAGCTCGCTGTCTTGGTGTACACTTACCCCTAATCGTAATAACAGTTAAATACTTCCAGAACCTAGTAGTACTACTGAACCTAAGTAACCAGGCTTACTTCATCAAGTTTTAAAAGAGCCTTGGACAAATTCTTGAAAAAACTTAGCATAAGATAATTAGTTTCACAATATCCACTTGTTTTGAGAATATATTAGGTATTGTACTGAACAATTTGTTTGTTCTCACTAATATGAATGTCAAAAACCATTGTAAAGTTTTAGATTGGGCACACTAGTTATCGACTATGACTGTTCATGAATTGATATGTGCTCAAAAAGAATCATCTTTTCGCATTTTCGAAAGATTTAAAAGTTGGGAAAGAGAATCTAAAGTAATATATAATTCTATTCTTATAATGTGACAGGTAAATAGCCTGATTGATAATACCACAGTTTGTTGTGAGCTGATTGAAGCTAATGCTAGTTTGCAACACGCATTGTTCAGAATTTTAAGATTATTTGTGATGCAAGGTCAGTTTTATTATCGGATTTCTAACTTATGGACGTTATAACTCAGTATCGTGCTTCGTAAAGTTGCGATTTTTATACTTTCTTTGGTTATATATTATGAATCCAATTGGATTCATGTAGTATATAAAACTTTTATCAAAGAGATACACGCGAAAGGTATTTCACGGCTCCCAAGTTAGATGACTGAATCTGGTGCAAGTCAGTTATCTGGAAACAGGGTGAACATCTGGATCACCTTGAATTTGTGTGTTATAAATGGTTTAACCCATGCATCAGACAGTGTAGTAAATTTCACTGGAAACCGCTTGTATACTTCTGTGTACTTAAAATTATGGAAATGACGAAATTCACCTGAAATTTCAACGCACGATAATTATGGAACTGAACTAAAATGTCTGTGACTACCAATGGGTTTGATGAATAATGTAATTTGATATTTGTTGCGAAAAAATACCGAAATACTTTCACCAACCTTTCTCAAAATCATACCACTAGAAATTTTAACATGGTTCATAAATGAAAGCATTCATTTATGGGTTTAATCACACTGCCATCAGAATCCCTAATTGTTTTGAAAAGAACAAATGACTGACTGGCGTGTTCGGGTTTGTACAAACTTTTCCAGAATGCATCAACGAATGGAGCTGACAACAAATTTCAAGTTAAAGACTTAAATTGATCGATGACTCATTGTTTAGATGACAAGTAATTGGTTCCTGGTGTGTAAAAATTTCTGGAATGTCATTACAAATTTTCTGTTCGGACAGATAAACTAATTGAGGCCAAATCACACAAAAATTAATGTTCAGTAATTCAAAGGCTGACCGATCAACCTATAGTCCATCTGCATGATTAGTCGAAGAATAAGTTTAGATAGTCTCTTATTACACGGCATATGTATATTTTCAGGAATCAGTTTAGTTGAGGTTTTTGGTACATTTTTCGTAGTTTGCTGTCTTTTTGTCTGGATAAAGATTGAACTTTGGGTTTTAACGAATGATAAGTATATTTGGACAATTCGTCAACCATGTATGTATTGAGGCGGAATCCGTATTATTATAAGCATAAACTTATAATTTATTTGTACTGGTTATCTGAACCTTCCCATTGGTGCTTACGACTTCAAATGATTAATAACTTTTAGAATATATGCGTCGTGTGCAGATCGACTTGGGACTTTATATGAACATAAGGATTAATTTTAGTGAGCTTATTATGGCACACACGGTGACTTGTAATGTATGATTTGGTTTATTATTTTGTCTCTGTTATCAATGTTCAAAATTAATTCGCTAATAGACAGCCATACTCATTAGTCCTACTCTACAGAATATAAATCTAAGGTATTGGACAACAAGTTCAGTAAAATGAGCAGTTGAAACACTTCTTTATGGGCATACGCATATGGATACTTCCAATAAGTGAGTTCTTGCCTCTAAAGAAACTCTTGGTTCCATATAACTTGATGATGCCGGCACTGAACCATCTCTAGCACGATGCCTTGTAAACATATAAGGAAGAATCCGACTAGAGTTAGGAGAAACAGTATATTTAGGCGCAGGCAAAGATGGGTTAATGTGAGACTGTTACACAAACTCTACAGATGAGACAGTGTCTCATGTAGGCTGCAATGATACATGACTACAATGCGTAACTGGTTGGCTTCAGCTGTCATAGTTCTTTAAAATTAAGGATGATAAGATCATTAAAGAACTCTGAGAAAGCTATTTATCCTACAGTTTTATTTAGGGCGGTGAGTTTACTCAGAAATGTTCACTACGAACTAGGCATTTCTAACCTTTTTTGTTAGGTACTAAAACTCAATCGCCCATAGGTTTTACCATATCAGTAACTAGAATACTGATCTTGATATAAATTTCTATTGTTAATGAGCAAAGTACTTTGTTAAAACATTAAAATTTCCATATACTAACTGCAAAATATTTAGGAAGCATTTGTACAGAAAGCAACAATCGATTTTTTCGAACCTCTGTTGAATCACCAACGAATAAATCTTATCATTCGCCAGTACTGTGTACCGAAAATAACCAATATCAAAATCAGAAAGACTTATGTGGGCAAACCAATACAAATACAACGACAAAAAATTCTCATGTTAGGTCAGATCAAATGAAAGGCTTGCCAAGTCTGGAAAATGAGATTTTGGAACGGTGAGTTATCTTGATATCAGTAAATAATTTCATACTTGTCGCTTTCATTATACTTGCTGCTCACTGGACATAAACATGGCTACTCTCTTTTATTATTTTTTGAAACAAATATTTATATCTTCCAAAGTCTTCACTTTGTATGTAATAGTTTGATAAAGTTTTTGTTTTATGGCAAACAAAAAGGTTAATCCAAAGTCAAATTCAATGCGATAGACTAGCTAATCAATTGGAAGCTCAAAGCATGGAACCTGGTCAGCGTAACATAGAAAATAAACCAATTCACCCTATTCAAAAAAGACCTAGATCTACGGTAGATGATGAAAGTGTTTTGACTCCTTCTATATGTGCCTATAATTCAAATATACCTGGAAATGCACCATGGTAAGCCAAATTGTATTCTACTTATTGCAAAAATGCTTTAAGAATTTCAATTTATTTTTTAGCTTTAGAATTTTAGTTACATGACAGTAATTATTTAGTTATAAATAATGTCGGACTCAGTATAAACACACCACTGGAAAAAGTTGCTGCAAATTCTACATCAGCACATTAAGAGAGAGGGAGAACATTGAAATAACGGAAGATGAAATAATAGACAGGATAACAGCATTATTATTACTGTAAAGCTAAACATAGAAAAATGTAGTACAACAATGAACGAACAAGAATAATATCAATTTACAGTAAGATAACTTCTTTATCTTACTGTTTTACTGTGACTGAATTTGAACGACTTCGTTCGCGATTTCCAGTCACAAATTTTCTTTACTTTTAAATATTAAAATATTTAATGATCATATAGAAATTCCATATCATATTATCTCATAAGTCATAGCATAGAATATGTTATCGCTTCTTTTAGTTAATGTATCATCATCAATGTGCTATATTTTTGAAGCATTAAATCTAGTTAAATAAAATACAATCAATATTGATTGTACTTATCATCTATTAATGTCATCTGCCTATTCATAAACATTTTCTTTGTCCTATCTGGTGTCAGTATTAAAGGTTCCTTTTATGTAGGGTTAATTTAAAAAATTGTTTAAATGGTTGGAATATAATGATTGTGCATGTTTATTTAATCATGATTTGAAAATTGCTTCAACTTTTGTTTAACACTCTTAAGCAAATGAATTTCACCAAGATTATATCCTATCTAATACATCAATAATAAATCCCTTTAAGATATTTTTGTAATAATACCAGAAGTCCAAAATAAGTCCAAAAGAATAAAATCATGACATAAGCATTCAAATTCTTTCTCAAATATTGTAGTGAAGATTGATTTCATAACGTTTTTGTTTGAGAGATGTGGTGTTTTTGTAGCAAAATATAACTTCTAAAAGATAACTTACTAAAACGTTTACTGTCAAGGTAATCATTCAGTAGAAAAATTATCATTTGGTTAGATACACCTTATAAATATCTAGTCCAGACTAATGAACTGGTATATAAGATAACCAACCATATAGCTACATGTTTACAAAATAATCTCCTACATAGGAAAGACTTATAAACATTAAATATAAATATTGTTCTTTCTGACAGTTTTGCTGATGATAATGCTTATGCTCAAGAAAGTGAAAATTCTTTAATTTCTAATGATCGACTGGTGAAATTTGTGAATGATAACAATGTTATAAGTCTTCTTCAAAGTTGGCTTGCCCCTTTAGTTGGTCGATATAATGATTTATTCACGAATTTGCGTGTTTCTTGTATGGATTATCTACAATCATTGGGTCAGTCAGATTGTGCGAGAAATCAACGTTTAATTTTTCATTCAGTTCAAGTGAGTTATCAATTGGGCTAAATGAGAGATTTATAAATGTCATCGAAATAATTATCTATTTATTCATATCATATAGACTGAATCATTCAATACTATGTAGATTTATCAGTTTTGTCATAGTATTCAAATATTTATTGTTTCTTTATAGCTTCGCCTTATTTGATAAAGTGTGTTTTGAAAATTTCCTGACATCCTCTGATATACTCTCAGGCTTTTAGTCCAATTTCAGACTAGTGTTTGATAGAATGTATCATATCAGTTTACTAAATATATTAATTTTGGAGTTTGTGGAGATTATTGAATTTCCATTTATATATATATATATATATATATATATATATTTATTTGTAAACTGGCCTTAATCAGACTTCTGTAGTTCATGAAGCACTTGGCAAACATTTTGTTGCAGCATTCAGCTCCCCTGAGACGTACATTCACATTTTCTTCATTGATCGAAGCCAACACCCTTAGTTTTCATGAAGCAAGCTCAATATTTAAGCCACTGGACCAAAGTATATCGGCTGAGACGTACAAGGTTAATAAACTAGTGGGCTTGTCCGATCATCTTCAATTGCCTTTGGCGGGTATCGGGCTAACACCCGACGTTTCTAAACTCCACTGATTACGGATTCCCATTACAACTCAGAAAATTGTATCCAGAAACTAACCACTAATGAGCACACGATTATTACTAATATAAGGAGTTTGTGTACAATATTTAGGCTTGAATGTTTTGGGTTTAGTCCTCAATACAGTCATCGATAGGCACTTCCGACAGGTCCTAAACTAGGACTTAACCGATATCCACTAATTACTGCCATTCAGTTGTTTCCTAATTAGGGTACATCTGTGAAGTAAATTATTAAACTCACATTGAAGAAACTACTAAATCTCCACCTATCCTGAACTGATATGTCATTTGAAATCAAACTAGGTAAAGTGGCTTATAAGCAACTAGATGGAAATAGTAAAATTCTATCATGTAAATGAGCGTTGTCAGAAACATTCTCAGATTTCTGATTCATGTTGGCGAAATATTAGAAAATTCTGAGTTAATAAACTTTTCTTAGTATGCTTTACAAAAAGCCATGTTGTGATAAGAAAACTGGTCTCTCAATTTTGTTAAAGTTTGATTACTACATGTCTTTTCATACATTTTATGCTGAATTTCCTATAGTCGTTTGACAAATATGATAATTTGAACAGTTTGTCTTTTGATCAAGTCTTTCTTTAATTAGTTAGTTGCATTAGCAGATCATAATCTAAGTAATTCATTGGCGAATTTCAAGCACTTAATGTGAAATAAGTCTTTTTAAATTATGTGTGCTGACGTTAACAATAAAAATTTCCATTCTTCACTGTTTTTAACAATCAAAATTATTTTAGTAATCATCAAATTACTTAAGAGCTGTTCTAATTATTCACTTAGTACATTGTTCTAGTGTGATAGTATTCTTTGGCGAACCTAAACCACTTGCATCTATATTATTACCAGAGCTATATGAATTCACTAGAAATTGTACATAACTAGATGAAAACACGTATACTACCTGTTTCAGAGTCATACACTATTAAACTAAGTAACATTAGCTTGACTTATATGATTGTGAAAAATGTATTCTGTTAACATGAAAAATATTTGCACTTGCTTACTTACTTACGCCTGTTACCCCCAATGGAGCCATAGGTCACCGACCAGTATTCTCCAGCCTACTCTGTCCTAGGCTTCCCTTTCCAGTTCTGTCCAATTTTCGTCCATTCTTATCATGTCTGTCTCCATTTCTCAGCATGATGTGTTCATCCGTCTCCCTCATTTCCTTTGTCCTTGAGGGTTCCAGGTGAGGGCTTGTTTTGTAACACAGGTGGGTGCTTACCACAGTGTCTTTCTAATTCACTTCCAAAAACGATTTACAGGGTATACTCAGTTTCCTTAGTTTTTTTTAAATAAAAAGTTATCTAGGGTTTTTATTGAAATAACACGGTAATCCATGAAAACTAAATGAAATAAATGCATCTGTTGACAAATTCAAACAGCCTACATGAAGTAAGGAGAAAATCAAACCCAGTGTTTCTACATGCTAATCTAACTATACTTATTCATGTGTATACATTGAATGGCGTTACTCAAAAAGGTTTATTTATGATAGCATACTTTATTGATCTGACAAAGAAAAAATCAATATATAATTAATTTATGTACTGAAAAATGATTATTTGACAAAAAATAGAATTTCGATTATATAATGATACCAAAGAATTTGAATTTGAATTGAAGTCTATGGGTGTGGAATACGCATCATATTTTCGATTTTTCTGTTACAATGATTAAAAATAAAGATTTGCAATAATGGAATGGTCTGACGGTTAATTGTTTTTCTATGTGATAGGACCATTTTATTCATTGTAACTCTAAGTATAATGAGTAGTGTAGGTAAGTTTCACCTTAAAACAGTTTAACAAAAGACACACCTATTTTTTTCGTTAGACGTTTGCATAGAAACTTTTATATTTTGTCGAAGGATAAATGGAATGAGGTGAGGAAAAAAAAATAGAAAGTAGCCAATCAAATTTTTAGAGAACAGGTATTGTGGTAGTGCAATTATATTCAGTGACACTCATGTTTCATACGTTTTTCATGGGAATATTTTATTTTTGAAATAATGTTGTCATGGGGATTAATTCACCTAAATGTTTCTAAAGGTATGATTATGATCTTCTACGATTTTGAACTAAGTGTTACTCAGTGTCAGTACTAAAGAATCAGTACTTTCTGCAACAACTGTTGATATCATATCTATTTTTATTATATGGAGAAGATAAATTGCACTCAAAACTTTTTTAATTTTTAGAATTAGCTGGTAATAATGGGTTGGATTATTTACTTACTTACTTACTTATGCCTATTACCCGAAGTGGAGCACAGGCCGCCGACCATCATTCTCCAACCGATTCTGTCCTGGGATTCCCTTCTCGGTTCTGTACAATTTTTATGCATTCTTCTCATGTCTTTTTCTGTTTGTCGGCGTACTATGTTTCTTGACTTCCTCTTTTCCTTTGACCTTGAGGGTTCCAAGTGAGGGCTTTTTCTATGACATGGTTGAGTGATTTCCGCAGAATGAGATGGCTTAAGCACCTAAATCTTATGAATGATGTTGTTATAAGTATCCTGCCAATAAGTTTCGAGAGATTTTTGTTAACTTGGGTATTATTTCCATCTAGTTTAATTTCTTATATCTACCATGGGAAAAGATGAACTAGAATATCAATGTTTACTGAAATATATCTTATAGTTGAGAATCGTTAAGTTAAATTAATGCGAAATTGTACTTTCAAGGTGTTGCTACATTAATAAGTTAGTAAAATAATAAAAGGCTTATGAGTTTTTAATTAGTGAATAATAGAATCCTATCTGAATCATTAAAATATATATTTTGATTATTTTGATACATCAAAGGTAGATTCATTTCATATACTGGTTAGGTACTGAAATCTAAATGATATAATTTAACTCACTCAGAGGTTTGAATGTGTCTCTTATGGTTTAAAGTAATTTCTGTAAATCAATACGTCTGCACTGGAGTACAGTTCTGGTCATGATAGTTTTTCAATTTTCTACAGTTATGACGTCATCGGCATTGAATTGTAACTAGGATTTAAGCATTAATTTTACTTTCCAAAAAAGTAGTGACATTTTATTAAATGAGGTTTACTACCTATGTATTTGAATAACATAATTTTCACCAGGAGTCTCTGGTGACATTACAGCATGAAGAATATGTTGTCACAGTAAGTGTATTCAAAAAAAAGGTTTAACAGATTGTGAGTACACTGTGTGAAAGGTTTATAATCATAGCTTATATTGTAAACCAGATAAAAAATTGGTTTAAAGACCTCACCAAACGTTGATTTAGTTTTGTAGTTGAAAGTTGAAATTCTAACTACATATCTGAGCTGTTAATTTACTGGGCGCTTCCTGATCCATACTTTTTGAGTTCTGTATGTTGTGTTATTAGGAAATAATTTGTCATATTATCAAAAAACCCTTCAAAAATTCTCATGAATAAACACCGCTTTCAATTAGAAAGCTGTAGTTGTAACTTTATTATTTACTTTTAGGCCAGTTTTACCGTTACCAACCATGTGATCCATCGTCTATTTACTACTGTGCAAAAAGAAAATTATACGTCAAGAAGTATTGGTGTTTTTCACACATCACTCAATACTGATCAGTTAGATAAACTTGTAGCTGCTACATTCAGGCATCTTTCACGCCATCCTCCACCAGACTGCGCATGTCATATGCCAATTACTTCAATGAGTGGAACAAGTGTTAAACGACCCACTTCCATAAGACAGCCTGTAACATCTCAGGAACTGACCGCTTTGGATAATTTCGTAAAAGAAGTTTGTTGTCTTGCTTGGCACCTACTGATTGGAAAGAAAGATCCACAATTAAATATTGAATCAATTGGAATTCAGTCTACTTGGTATGCAGATGTGGATAAAACTGCCAAACCTGGAGATCCATACGATGATAAAAGGTACGCAATCTATTTGTGTTGTGTTAATAAGCAATCATATAATGAGAATAGTAATCAATTTATCATTTGATTCAGTATTCGTAATTTATTTACATTATTTTATTTTAAAGTTATCGAAGAAGTTATGATTCCGATCCAACTGCTGGTCAAGTTCATCATTACATTTGGCCATGTTTAATTTTATGTATTAGAAGACCTACTGAAATTCAACAGCAATTTCAATCAGCAAATATGAGTAAAACTAATCGAAATAAATTTGTTAAAACATGTATTTTGGTGAAAGGAGAAGCTTGTACACGTAATCCTATATATGCAGCATCACAAAAAGATAAAGCTGCTGCTTTATTAAATCATGAATATTCAAATCAGAATGTGTGTAGATGTACATCACCGCAAAAATATAACAGATCAAGATCAACATCAGTTCGAAGAGCCTAGTAGATATTACTTTTTATTTCAGGTAATGTTTCTTATTTTGCAAAATTTTTAAAACAACCTTTTAGTTTTATATATAGTTATTCTTAACGAATAAAAAATATATTGCATAGTGCTTAAGAAATGTTTAATAATTAATCCGTCTTCTTATCGTCTCAATTTTAATTAGAATTATAGTTTACGTAGTGTTTATTTGTCAAAATATATTGGGTTTTGTAGTAAATTTAAACTTTTCCTGTTGAAAATGTTCTAACATATGGTAGATTATCACTGTCTATAAGTTTATTCAAAATATGTGTTGTTAAAAGGGTACTTGATCTGATCTATTTTTATCAGTGCATTATGTACAACACAAGAGTGTTTAACTTTTGATTTTGAATTTTCAACTAACAAAGTTTGTTCACTTACTCAAATCAGTAATTAAACATGTAGATGACTAATTACTGTAAACTTACAAGTTATCCTTGAGATGAATTTCATTTCATGACAAAAAACTCTCCTCGAAGATCTAAGAATGGAACGATGCATCTGTCCAGTATTCATAAGTTTTCAATCATTTTAACATCTGGTAGGTTGGGACGAACATTCATCAAATTATTCATTCTTTACGTCGATTTATTACAGAGTATTGAATAACATTATATCTGTCCAGTCCATTAGTTCTAATCGAATTCTATTAATCAAACTGCAGCAAGGCTACTGGTCTAAATCAATTGTCAGTGAGTTGCTGTGTTTTGATGTTAGGTCGTCAGAGGAAATTTGCAGGATACTTTAGATATAGGTTTCGCGATAGTAGGTATCTGTATGACAAAAGTATCTGGACTCATGAGGGAAGTGATGATCTTCTTATTATTCCAATCTGCTTCATGCAGCTTTGAAACCTAAGAAGTTACGTCTACGTTTCTTCAGCAATGACATCCCTCCTCTGACATTAAGATATTAACACTGATTGATCGCTGAGTAGTAGCTAATGTCATGTTTGTTTAGTCTAATTATTTTATTCTTAATATGTTCGTCAATACGATTTAGCTACGAATATAAATAAATGGCTTTCGTACGCAGCGCTTCTTTGCACTTCATGACTGTAAAAATATTTACTTACAATCGTAGTTTAGTTAACATTTGACGGTGAAAAATCGCTTTCAGTCGGTATTTTGCTTCTTATCTCATTTTTAAAGGAAGCTGGTTTTCAATTGAGTTGCATGTCTTTCTATTGAAAAGGCTTCAAAACATTTCACCCTACTTTTACAACAAACCTGTTGCTGTATTGTTAAACTTCACTTATCACAGACAATTTGATTAAGCAGCTCTATACTGAATATTTCACAAAAATTAATTACCTATCGTTTCAGTTTACTTGTTTATGATAAATTAATCAGATCAGTAGTTGTAAAATCAGGAGAGTTAGAATTAAGCCATTTTATTGTGAATACTAAAGGACAATATCTAGAATTTTAAATACTATCTATTGATAGGTAATCGAAACATTTGAACCAAAAAAGTATTAATAAACATACTTATCACTGCTATTATCTTTAAAATTAAAAATCAAAATTAAATCTTATAAAATATTATCAGTACAATGAAATTAAATAAATAACACACTAATTTAGAGTTGAATATTTTATGGAATGATTTTTCAAAGATTAATTATATTTCATCACTTCGATTAATTGATGGTTGATTTTCATGTGCCTTTTCTTTATTCAGTGGTTGTCTTAACTAATCAAATTTAAATTTAATACTTTAATGATTAATGATGAATAAATGCATAGAATTGTACTTTAATATTATTCATCATGTGAACTATCCCTTATAAAGTATTTCATTAGTCATATATTATTATTTTATAAATTAAGTACTTTACTGATTTATAAAGGCTCAACTAGTTGAAACGTTTGCAATTAAAATTTTTTTTCTTAGGCTTACAAGTTCTTTTATATTTATGCACTTTAAAATTAGCTGGAAAATCAAAACACTAATGCTTAGACATAACTTTAAGCTCTGTGGACTGATTTATTTGATCACATAATGTTATATTTTCCTTCTTTCATTCATGATTCAGTTAAAACAAGCTACAGTTTTAGTGTTCAATTAATTAGAATGATAAGTTTCAAAGCGCTAAGTTTTTACTAAAAAAATAATCATTGCCCTGACTGTGTTACTCTGAAAATTTATACATCTAAAAAATAATTTGATATACTTCTGAGGAACAGATCATATTTACAGGAGAGAGAAATTATTAGTCTTCTCTACACTTTGAAACACCAATCGCATAGCCAAACAATCAACTTAACATGAATACAAAAAATCAAACGAAATTGACTTGGAGCCGGATTCAAGTGAGAAGAATTAAAGTACTTCTTAATCATTGTTTTGTCCTTGCCAAGCAGATGAAATGAACTGCATTAATAAAATGCCTAAAGAATTGAAATTTTTGGCGTCTGTAATATTAGCCTTTGGAGTTAATGGAAACTAGCACAGAATATTATTGTTATGATGAATGAGTGGATTCACATAACATTTTTAACGGGCTTTTTCGTAGATATATTACATGATATACTTCAAAAACGTATTAATATTTTAGTCTGGGTATGAGATTTATGTTTAAACTGAATGCATAAAATTTTATTGTTAATTTAAAAAATGATCTAGTGTTTTAAAGAAGAAATTTACAGTCTTAAACAGAGTTGGATTGTGGATAGCTGCAGAATCCAGTAAACATGTTTTTTCCATCAGTGAGAAGATCCAATAACTAATAGACATGAATGAGTGATTGTAGTTTAGTTGGCAGCTCGAAAAAAGCCCGGTGTAAAAAATTGCCGCTACAATGTTGAAATAATAATTAATTGCATGGTGGAAGTCATGAACTGATCTTAGCTAGACCACCATTAGAAACCTGGAAGTACTGGATAACTGTTTCGCTCTAGTATGGACCCCCAGCAGCTCGTACCCACGAGCCACTCATGTGAAAGCTTAAGCTATTCACTACTGAGTCGGTACGATTAGTGTCAGTGTCTACTTTCACTCAATACATTGGTTGGTTACACTTCCTACCTAGTTAGTTTGTTATTCATGGAAGTATAATGACATGTCTGGTCAGTTAGTTTGTTGGAGTTCTGTTCACTGCACACATAACTGTTGTTCATATGATAGTTAAGTGCCACATTGAATCATATTCTAGAAATGGATTGTTGTTGAGCATTGTAGTTCAGTATGGAACACAACCTGAACCAACTAAATCACACTGAATGAAGTTTTGGAAGACATAAAAACCCTTTCCTTATTTTGGCAGCAAAGCTGATGAGCACGGTGGAACTGATGCAGATGTGAAGGCTTGGATCGGCAAAGTAAGGACAGCATTCCTACAACTGAAGAACATCTGGAACTCAAAACAACGATCAAACAACAGCAACGTCACAATTTTCAATATAAATATCAAGACAGTTCTACTGTATGGGGTGGAAACTTGGAAAACTACCGAAGATTTCATCCAGAAGATCCAAGTATTTATTAACAGTTGTCTACACAACATACTTCCGATCCGTTTGTCATACACCATCAGTAACAACCTACTGTGGGAAGGAACAAACTAGATTGCAGTGGATGAGGAAATAAGGAAGAAGCGATGGAGCTGGATTGGACACAGTTGAGGAATGCAACCAACTGCGTCACAAGGTAAGCACTTGCTCGAAATCCTCAAGGTGTGAGAAGAAGAGGAAGATCAAAGAGTACATTACTTCAAGGGTTGGAAGGAGACATGGAAATAATGAACACCAATCGGATAGAATTGGAAAGGGAAGCCTAGGTTGAAGTATACTGGAAGATGCTGGTCAGCGGCCTATGCTTCATTGGGTGTAACAGGCATAAGCAAGTAAAGTAGCAGTAATTCTGACCATATAAGTGAAGTTTCCATTTAGGAACTCTTCTAACTGTAAATAACATGTGTTAAAAGCAAATTAAGTGTATCTCTTAAACTACTTTAATTCTGGCTGACATATTCACTTGCTCTCGCTTACCATCGGGTTTATTGAATTTTGATTTAATCATGATGGAAATTTGTTTAGAAACGAATAAATTAAGCTCTTAGACTTAGAATACACCTAAACTCTGTAATTTCTACATGAATTTATGATCTGATAATTACCTTACACTTTACTGTTTTAAGGGAAACTATGCTGTTTATTAGGGTCATCTTTATAAGATAACTTCTATCCCGTTATAGAATTTACTACATAAAAAGAAAACAAATTAGCCTTAGGGAAATTGGCTAGTGAAGGGCATGTTTTAAACATATTTTAAAAATTCTGTTTAACAATTGAATTTATTGCTGGATTTGAGTTCAAATTTATACAATTTTATGACAAATGCAAACTAAATGATATCGATTAATGTCATAATTTGGTTATTCATTTGGAGGCATTTCAAGTTAATATAAATGCCGGTCGTTAAATTATTTCGTGGCATTCGATCATCCTTTTACACTGTAAATAAGAGCAAAGTATTTCCTAGTTCAGAGCCTTTTTTTATTGACATTCTATGATTATTAACACTACACAAAAATAACTTCTGCTGATACTTTTTCCACTAACTCGATATGCATGTAATGATTTTGCAGAAATGTCTGTATCTGAAAGATTCGCAATCAATAATTATTGATTACTAGCTGATATATTTTTCATTTTCGACGAAATGATTAAAAATTCAGTTAATAATTAAAATTGCATGGCTAAGATTGAATTTAAACAAGAGAACATAGAAAATGAAATCAGTGTAATATCTATCAGTTGTACAATTTTCACATAGAATGTATATAATTCATATATCTATTTTTCTTATTTTTTTGATCATTACGGATAATATCGATCGGTTTAAATATATTCATTTTTAGATACACTTGAGAGTTGAAGACAAAAAAACTCTTCCATTTTCATTTAACATAGCATGCTTTACCTGATTTCATATGCATGTCAATTAAAAAGCAGGCACAAGGTTTATATTTGTTGATTTGTAAAATTGTATGAAATTACTTTTTTTTTATTTTTGTTTTTAGTTTTCATCTTATTAATTATTCGTAGACTGAAATAATCATTAGAAATCTTTGCAAGTTTATTTCAGTAAAAATTATTAGGTGCCTAGTATTTTCTATAATTTTCCGCCCATTTCTTTTTGTTTATTTATTATTTACTATAAGTTGTGTACTTGCTAAGCATTAATATCTTGATTGTAAAATACTGATATTCATCAATGATACATTCATTAACAAATGAAAGAGGATAATGTACATTAGTTCGACTGTTATAATCTGTAATCAATGCAATAACTATCTTTTTTTCATTATTATTAAATCATGTGAAAAATAATTGAGATGAGAATTAGTCGATAAGCTTATAATACATGGGCAAGGCAATCAGAATCGTGAGAGATTCGAAAATGAATGACTTCTATTTTATTTTTTTCATCAATTGCAAGATGGAAATCCTTTGTATACTGTTGAGTATGTTTAAATTTGTCAATAAAAATTATTTTGCTTGTACTGAGTTGAATAACAGACGAAGTAATAATGTAGAAATGCCAAAATAAATGAGAAGTTTTACTTATCAGTCCTCTGTATCAGTATTGGCAGCAAAAATGTTTTATTTCCATAACTCTCCAGCGAATTTATAAGTATAGATTTGTTGAATGTTGATAAATTTTTCTGTAAAACCATTTAAGTTTACGAAAAGGATTCAACGAGAAATCTTTAGCTTGGATGAACTACATTCAGACTATTAGAGCATATGTAGCTGCATATTTCAACAATATTATGATTGGAAAACTGATTAAATGTCATGAAAAATTAATGACTTTTGTTGAATGATTAGACCTTAGAATGTTTCATTATTTTTATTGCTAAACACTTTGTATATTCAGAGTCTCTGTTCATTGGCTAATAAGTGACTCAGGAATCACATGGTCATTTTAAGAATCACTAATGCTCATCTATATGCTACTCTCTAACTATTTAACCTGTCACAACGAAAATTGCTTAAGTGAACTCTTAATAAATAACTCCTGGACATGCATGGTATACAATTTTTGATAATAAAAAACTTGACCGACTTTTCCGGTGCTAAATATTTCGTAATATGTGCTGATAACATTCTACATTTTTGATATAAAGGATAAAACTGAGTCAGATATATTTATGTGTATTTTGCTAAAATTAATCTGTCCGTGATCGTTGAGTCTTCCAAAATGCGAGTGATGAAAATTTAATTTGAGGTGAAACCAGTAATAAGCCTATGACAACTTTGATGCCTTAAAATGCTGCTTTAGGTTTGGTGTTTGATATGAATTGGTGTTATATGTTTTATTAAAACTGCCTAAATAAATTCAACTTTGAATGTTTCCATTCTGAGAGCTTAATTATCAAGTAATGTGCTCAAACAATATCTGAGATATGACTTTTAACTATGTATAGATTGTCTAGTTTCCTTGATTTTAACTTTTCAACATTTGAGGTGCATGAGGATAATTTGTTTGCATAGATTTGTCCAAAAACGGATCTACCATTGAAGTGACAGATTAGTCTGACAGAGTCAGTAAGAAACAAAATTTTAAATTTCAGGCAGGATGTCTTCTCCTATAGTTTCGAGTATACGTTACTGATGGTCATCAGGAAACATAGTACATCAACTCATAACATCATTGATTAAGCTGTTGCATCCTTCAGATTATTTACTTTTTAAACGTACTCATTGCATTTTCGAATTTTACAAATGAACTATTTTATTTTTATGGGACATCTGTTTGCTTCACTTGTCAAAAAACATATAACTTCAAAATAAACATTCAAATTTCTGCTTCAAAGATGAGTTCAATCATGTTCATCTCTGAAATAGATTTTTTCAGTTCATTCGGGTCACTACACATGAAAGCTGTGATTTACTTCTAGAAAAATTAGATCTATATATTATTTCATAAAATATCGTTAGTTATAATTCTGTTATCATAATGACTATTCATTCATTTGATGGGTAAGGATCACAAATATTCATTAATAAATGGTCATTCGGAAAACGTTTGCAAATTAAAGACTGGCCATTTCCTCTTCTATACAAACAATTTGTTATAATAGTTCAAAGATTATTATCTACTGGTTGATGAGACAGGACAAATAATTATTTTCATTAAATGATGACCTACTTGTAAGTAGTATCATTTGAAATCGATAATATTCTAATAACAGAAAAAGGTTCCACTAAACCAACTGACTTAGAAAAAGGCAAAACGAAGAATCCACTACCACCACTTGTCGAAACAGTTTATTTGAGAAAGCCTATTAGTGGGAGCTTCATGTCAAAGTATTTTTAAGCGTTATTTTATTATTAATGGTCAATACTGAAACGTTTTGTCTTGAAGAATTCCTATGTAAAGAATAACAACAGATAAACTTATCACATCTGGAATAGAAGGTGTTGTCAGTGTATAATAGATAAGAGTTATTCAGTCATGCTTAAAATTAATTTCAGAAAACCTTTAAACTACGAAAAAAGGTGTACTAAAAGGCATTCGGGTAGTGAAACATTTCCATAAATATTAGAGCACTTGCATATGAATGGGGGATATTCGATTCAGTAACTGTATACAGAGTCCTACAATCCCAAGTTTGACTAAACATTAAAAATAGTTTGTAGTCTACATCAATTGGTTATTTTATCTAGGAAATTAGTGAATACCAGAGGCACTCGACAGCTGATATCTAATCAGTTCAACTAGTGACTAATCTTTCCAGGTATTCAATGGGTTTTTAGACAAAGTTTCTCTTGAAGGTGAGCTGAAAACTGAAAATTCCCATTTTAATACTAAAATAGAATAGCTAACTTTATAGAATGTACACTTTTTCAAATAAAAGTTGCAAATTATAGTTTGCTAATAAAATAGGTTTGTGAATATTTCACTGTCTGTTATAAACTGTATACCTAAAATAGTCTGTAGACTACCGAAAACTGAGAGATTCTGGTTCAGAACAAATAAAGATAATTCGAAGTATTGATGTAATCAGGGATAAGATCAAATCCATATAGCTGTGCATTTCGATACTTGTTTTAATTGTCTTCTATCAACTAAAATGTAGAATCTTACAAGAATTTAATGAAAAAAAAACAATTCTTCATTCAGGTGTCATTATTTGCTTAACTGTTATTTTCAAAAGAAATGAAAATATAATTTGATTCGAGATTGTCACTTCTGTAATTGTATCAGCTAATATCTGTAGACAAATTATGCATAGCTAACTTTATATATTTCATTTCACTTTGTTTGTCATATTTACAGAAAGAAATATTATGTTGACAATTTATTCAGACAATTCTGTTTATTCAGTGATAATAGTACAAATTCGTAGTGGATTGCATCAATAATCTTTATAGCTGTGCAATTGCAAATCAACAAACTGTTGAATTTATAATTGCTTTTTAACTTCTATTATTATTACTACTATTATTGTTATTAGTAGTATTGCGAAAATTTTGAAATTTAACATAATCATGACAATGTTTGTACAAAATAATATTTCGCTATAGATTTTTTTAAAATAAAATGCTTCTTTTATAAGTTTGTTGATTTATTTTGATTTCATCGGATGATTATTATCATTACGATTCAAAAAATTGAATATAAGTGATGTAATAAATTATTTTCTAGTATATATTTATTAATTAGGTTCAAAAGTTTTGCTTCATAATAGTATATATTTAAAGAATGATGATGGATATTTGCTATCTCAATAAATAAAACTGAAGACATACGGATTAAGTTTTTAAAAAAAAAATTAAATCTTCAAGTTATAAGCTTTGAACTCATTGACATGATTTAAAAACTGAATAGAAATTGTGAAATGCATAAACGATTTACAGATAGTATGCGTTCAATTGTGTATACTTGTTAATACGTTTACTGGGAATGCATCGTTCTTTAACTAACAACTATATGATACCCTTTATTTGTAGAACAACTTAAAATTAGTCAGTTTATGACAAGACTAATCATACCTGTATATGGCTTGTTGACTACACAGACTATCATTCCTTTTCTATTATTTTTCCAGATAATTGTCTGTGGTTTAACTGCACACTTTTCTATTAAAATAAGTTTGTAAACTGTTCAAAATAGAGAACAAAACGGAGATTTTTTTGTTTCATCATAATGATCTGTTTGCGAAGACATTGTCCTTTTAACATATCAACAAATATGAAAATGTAAACTAATTTCATCAACTGATGTTTCATTTGTCCATCTTGACTGCGTATATAGAATGGAAATTTGCTTCATACGGTTCACTAGTGCACGTCACATTGTACATGCTTATCAGTTGTTGACTTGAAATAATGCACTTCTTGTTTTCAATAAAATTTGTATTCAGCGAACTCGTATTTTTTAATAGGCTATCTAATTCATTGTAATAATAACTTCTGACTGCATGAATCGGAGACAGTGACTATATGGTCGTGTGGAGTTACACTAAGTATATCAGTTTCTAAAATCTTTATTTCATATCATAGAATAACTTGATGTTTTAGTGTTTCCTAAAGATATATGGTAAATAAGTTTAGCGGTACCTGGACTAATGGAAGTGAAACAGTGTTATTTAGAGTGCAAATATTTATTCGAAATAAATTGAATATAAGAAGGTTATCAGTGTAATGAGTATGTTTTGAAGATCACGAAATGTAATATTATAAATATAAGTACAATTAGGGATAAAACTTGACAACCTTCAATACTGAAGCTTCTTATTAGAAAGCTTTCCATGCATAAAAAGTCCCTGATGATCAGCTGATCTTAACAAGATCTGATGAACAGCTGTAGAAAGCAGTACAAAGCGAAATATGCGATCAGTCAGAATCTGAAGGGTTGAATAAACACAACTATGTTTCTTGATAGCTTGGGTCATTCATAATAAATAGAAGGCAAGAAATCGTAAAGCTCCGCCTGCAGCACCTTTAAAGCTACTACCGGTCCCAGGCCCGGATAAAGGAGGAGAGTTGGGTTCGGGGTTAACGACCCCATCCCGTAGAAAACCAACTCACAAAAAATTGCTAACCAGAAAAGATTATTCAAACTATTTTAACTCTGCCCTGGGAGTTATAAGGTCTTCATTCAGAAGAGTTATGAGTCTCATGATGAAGGCCGATTTCCCTCGGAAGTCACGAGGCCGATGCCCCTTCTGAAAACCAGAGGAACCATTCTTTTATGTACAGGGAATGTTTGAACAATGTGGGAGACCAGAAGACTGTTCCGATTTACTGCAGAGATGAGAAGATAATACCTGGATGTGCTTGAAATCAGTGAAAAACATTAGACGCAGGTTGGACAGCAAAGAATAGCTTCAGGAGAGCTGGTTTTATACTCCGACCATGAAGAAGAAAATGCCTCATACATACAGGGATTTGAACTGATGTTGTTGAAACGAGCACATAAGGCACTTATAGGACTAGAATATCGTGGATCCAAGATTATCAAGTCATCCTTTGAAACAAAGAAAGAGGACATAACGAAGAACGTCATCCGATGCTGCGCACCTACAAACCACTAGAATGACCAATTCTCCGAGAGGCTGTAGTCAATCGTCAACAGATGCTCTTCAAAGGATTTGACCGTTCTGATGTGAGGCCTAAATGCCAAGGTTGGCATGGACAACGCTGGATATGAAGACATCATGGGACGACATGGACTGGGATTAAGGAACGAAAATGGTGAGAGATTTGCAAACCTATGTGCCTTCAACAGAACTACAGAGACATTACTCTTCTCTCAACATCAGGCGAAGTCTTCAACGAGCTACCGTTAGACAGAATGCAGGACTTCGAAGTTGCCCAACTTCGAGACCAACTGGCTGGATCCCAAAAGGATCGCTCGTCTACCGACAAAATTGCCGCATTACTGATCATTGTGGAACAAACAGTTGAATAAAACTCACCACTCTACATCAACTTCCTTGACTACCCGAAAGTATTCGATAGTGTTGACAGGAAAACACTATGGAGGCATCTTCGACACTACGGTGTGCCTGAGAAGATAGCCAACATCATACGGAATTCTTATGACGGATTAAATTGCAAAATTATGTACGGAGGACAGCTCATAGAGTGGTTCCGAGTGACGACTGTTGTCAGACAGAGTTGCTTACTCTCACCATTTCTCTTACTCCTGGTGATCGACTGGATTATATAGAGGTCAACATGTGAGGGGAAGCAGGACAACGGACAGGTAGGATGCAGCTGGACGATCTGGACTTCTCAGATGACCTGGCTGCTCTGTCTCACACGCAACAACAAATGCTAGATAAGAAGACCAGTATAGCAGCAGCCTCAGCAGCAGCAGGTCTCAACATGAATAAAGGGAAAAGTAAGATTCGCCGATACAATACAGCATGCACAAACCAAATCACACTCGATGAAGCTTTGGAGGATATAGACACCTTTACATGCCTGAAAAGCATCATTGACAAGCAAGGTGGATCTGATGCAGATAGATAGACGGATTGGCGAAGCAAGGACAGCATTCCTACAACTGAAGAACATCTGCAACTCAAAACAAATATCAAACAACACCAACGTCACAATTTTCAATATAAATATCAAGACAGTTCTACTGTATGTGGTGGAAACTTGGGAAACTACCGAAGATTTCATCCAGAAGATTCAAGTATTTATTAACAGTTGTCTACACAATATACTTCGGATCCGATTTTCATACACCATCAGTAACAACCTACTGTTGGAGACAAATCAAATTCCAGAAGAGGAAGAAATCAAGAAGCAGTTCTGGAAGTGGATAGGACACACTGAAGAAAGCATCCAAGTGCGTCACAAGGAGAGGAAGTTTAAAGAGCACATTACGCCAAGGGTTGGAAGGAGACATGAAAAGAATGAACAGCAATCGGATAGAAGTGGAAATGAAAGCCCAGGACAGAGTAGGTCGGAAAATTCTGGTGGGCGGCTTATGATTGTTTGGGGGTAATAGGCGTAAGCAGCTAAGATATCTCAAGACAAACGGATAAGACAATGGAAAGAAATGTACCAGATTAATTTCAATGACATATGTGGTTAAGGAAACATGTTATTAATAGTTGCGGAGTGGGAAGTAACGGGTTAAATAGTAGACCAGGCTTTTAAAATATAAAATGTATACACAGCATTTATAAAGATTAACAAGCGGAAAAATAACATTTATTACATTGTTTCGAATTCCAGCAAACATTTAATTATTCACTACAACAACTCATTAACATTATGTGTTTACAGACTGTGACTACTTTTACATTACTAAGTAGTACATATGATAAATTGAAAAAATGTTGATTTCAAGCGACTTCAATGCATGACCTACTAGGTTCACAACTGCTCAATGATTTCAACCGTTCCTTTATTTGAAACATAAATCTCTAAATGTATGTGGATTCTAAAAATGAAGTGAAATGTGACATTATTGAATTAATTTATTAAACTGAGATGAAACACTTTGTTAAAAATACTCATTTTGTCTAATTGCTTCTCATGATTATTTAAAACCATTCTATAATAAAAGTACAAAAGTCCTAATTTATAAGAGTATTGTGACATCAGATTTATCTTCAGTGAATGAGAATTAATTTGAACAAATATGCCACTAAGTTATTATAGTTTTTTATCTGGCTTGGTTTAGAATGTCGTATTTATCTACTTACAACAATTCTTTTGTATTGCAGTGTCTTTTTTCCTGAATTCGCTGACTTCACAAAATTTGTTTTGCAAACAGAGAAATAATATCTATTCTAGTCTAAAGTTCTATAGCTATGAATATCATTCTTGAACATTGAACTGATAGGGCGGAGTCGAATAAAGTATAAACCATTGCTTTTAAACTTGTTAACATGATTTTCGAATGTTTATGTCTATTTCATTTTCATTGCGAATATAGAATGTTTAAATGATTTTTGGACTGAAATTAAACTATGTTGAAGAAATGTTCATAAAACAAGATAATTCATAAATTATCTGATACTGATACGCTCATTAAAAACAAATGAAACAACAAACAACAATGCAGCATTTTCAATTTACTTGAGTACTTATGTCACTTTGACCTGAAAAATGTCTTAAATGCTATCATTGTCTCATTACTATACCAATACTATCAATGTATTAAAACAAAAGTGTAGAATTTAGGTTACTAATAACTGTAATATTATTTATCACTGATTATATCTGAAATAATCCTGTCGTGATTTTGTAATACGTGAACGCGTTTTGTCTGTTTTGTGAGTAAATGAAGTTTATTAAATAATCTTTTAAAGAATGTTTTTCGCTTGAAATCGTTAAGACAATGATAAAAAGTAATTAATGCGCTTTAGTTTCCCACAAAATCTCAGCTGGATACTTTTAATCCTGAATATTCGCAAGCGCATAAATTTTTAATAACACGAAGGAAATGACTAACATAAA